TATACTTTACGTGTTAAATTTTTTCTTCTTTTGCGTTTTCTGGCGAGTAGTGTTTTTGGTCCCCTGTCGTAATATTCAGATGGTATCGATTGAACTTTCTGCACCAGGGTCGCGTACACTTCTTCAGAACATGAATGGTTATGGCCACTACCACGGGCAAGACGACCGAACACTCAGGTTGCTCTGCATGAACAGTTAAACACACATTTTTTTTCATTTTTCGTTTTTGCCGAAATTTAAGTCATAAAAGTACGTTTTGAAAATGATCTATGAGCTCAATCGTCTCACCCGTGGTAGTGGCCATAACCATTCATGTTCTGAAGAAGTGTACGCGACCCTGGTGCAGAAAGTTCAATCGATACCATCTGAATATTACGACAGGTGACCAAAAACACTACTCGCCAGAAAACGCAAAAGAAGAAAAAATTTAACACGTAAAGTATAGGAAAAAGGCTCACGGAAACAGCTGTATCTCAGTGCAAAATCAAAATTTTGGAATTTCGAAAAAAGCAATGGAAAGGGGAGAAAAAATCCTATTCAAAAATTAAATAAAAAAAATTTTGAATTTAAGGTGTATATAAGCCCTTAAGTCAAACTCGTTCAAAGTCTCAATCGCCTTCTAGCAGTTCGTTGCTTGTTCGGTTATCCTGCCATACTTTACACTAACATTGGCTGCTTATTGCAACTTTGGTTGTTTATTAACTTATCGTTTATTTGGAGAAACGAGGGGAGGCGTTTATGAAGGAAAAGTGATGCCGTGGAGGTCGAATTGTGTTGGTCTTAATCTGAGACCGATTCGGTAGAATGTGGCATCTTTCGAAAGAGAAAATAAGTAACCGTCGATTTTTATGGCGGTCGTAAAAAGGTGTTAGATTTCTCTGGTCTTCGCTGCGAGCCGTTCGGGAAGTCCCGAGTAGTTTGTGTCTCGCTGTATGTACAGTGGGCTGCCTGTATGTAGGCGCTTTCAGAGGTTTTGGAAGTTTGATGTAGCCTATCTAGAGACGACATTACAGTAGATGAGATGACACTTGCTATTCGGCACTGCATTGAATGTATTCGACAAAAACCAATCAAAAGTTATTCTCAAATGTCCGACTTATCTTCGGTACGTGTTATCGAGACGCCAGGTTTCACTCATATAGGTGTAGATTTTTTCGGTCCTATTTTAATTAAAGAAAAGAAACACCATAATAAATCTTATATTCTTGCCCTATCTTATAGGGTTGCGTGTTTGTATGTTTAGCTTCAAAGGAAGTTCATGTTGAGTTAGCGATTGACCTATCTGATGAAGGTTTTTTATCAGCTTTGAAAATATTTACTAATCGTTAAGGTGTACCAGAGCATATGTACTCAGATAATGGTACCAATTTTGTTGGAGCTGATAAGGAATTACGAAAAATTTACGAATTACATAATTCTCCTGAATTTCGACAATTCATAGGGAATTATGCTGTGACAAGACAAATAGTTTGGCATTTAAATCCGCCTCTTTCACCACACTTTGGCGGTCTTTGGAAAGCACCCATAAAAAGATTTAAAAACAATTTGAAACGAGTTCTAAAAGGACCCACCATCACGTATGAACGAATGGAAACTTTTTTAATCGAAATCGAAGCTGTACTCAATTCTCGACTACTATATGCCCAAACCTCTCATACAAATGATCCTCTCGTGATCACTTCATCCCGTTTATGAAACGAACGAAATTTAAATACCTTACCAGAAAAACCCTCTATTTCCGTTTCAGATAACCGTCTGTCCACTTACAATTTTATTACAAAAGCAAAACAAGATTTTTGACAAAAATGGCATGAGTCAACAGCAGAATTAACAATAGATTCTGTTGTTATTCTTATCGACGATGTCAACAGTTGTACTCGATACCCACTCGGCGTAATTACTGAGATATTGCCTGGGAGTGATGAGATTGCACCTGAAGCGCCTGTCAAGACAACAAATGCAATTTATAAACGCAATTTTGCATGACTTTGCGTATTACCTGTTGTATCAACCTTAGAAGCTTCATATGTTTATGTTATGTTAATTGATTTAACTGCTTACATTCATATGAAATTCATTTCGCGGCTAAAGACCGGAGTATGTTACGCAACGTAACTTATTTCAATTCTTTCTTGTTATTAAAAAAAAAATAAAAATAAAAAAATTAAAATTGTTCAATAACCTGTAAAGAAAATATGTTGTGTTGAAGGTTAGCTCCCCAACAAAAGGTTGGAGTTTTGTTTTGTTTCTTGTTTATCATTAACCTTTAATTTTTAATTATTTAACATTTTAAGTTAAATAATTTATCGATCAAATATTCATGTGTAATATTATTTATGTTTAATATTAATAAATAAAATGATTTTAATCTGGCTGATGACAATGAAGGAAAATATGTATGATGTGAGTTTACTGCGTGGAGAAGTCATTAATTATTGGTTATAATTAATTACAATTCAATTTCATTCATCCATTCAATTACAAAAGATTAACTTACACCTAGGCTTACTCAACTAATTACAAACAATATACATAGGCCTGGCGGACGATTCTCGGTGTAGATGTAGAATTACTTAAACTGGCTTGGCTCGCTCGTACTTTCGTGGCTTACACTGTAACTGGTCGACTAGCGCTCCTGGTTGACTGCACTATACTACAGCTACACTAGCCTCAATTATAAATTACACTTCGCATTGGACTCGTGGCACAATTTAATACAATTCTGAATAATATAAAATCGCGGTACAAAGTGACGTGAGCTCCGCATACCGAATAAGATGATGGTCGAATCGCACAGAGACTCGGCGGGTCCTCAATATATACCATGAGATTTTGCATAATTTTTGGGAGAAAGTACCTGTCAGCACCTGCTCGTTCGTGAGAACCTGACGACAGCCTTTGCTTATTTTTTAGGTTAATGATAAACAACAAAAAAAAATTTTTTTTTTAAAACCACGTTTTTTAGATAAAACCATCCATAACTTATGACCGGTTGGTTATATCGAAAATCTGACGCTGGATTCTGAAAGTTCATTAAATTTTACGTAGAATAAGCTTACTCACAATTTTTCAGACCCCATTTTCATCAAAGATATAACGCCTCAAAAAAGTATCGAAAAAGTGTCCGTCCCGGACTTAATGGGTTAAATTGAGTTTTATGAGATGCAACTCTTGTGGATGAAGGACAACGCAAAATAATTATATGGGCCAGCCTAAAGATATCGCACTTCGACGTCTTAACATGTTATCATGTAGGAAAATGCCTTAAAAAAAAAGTCGTCTTGGAAAAAATCGAAAGTTGATCTTCGATGTTTTTGAAATATCGTAAATTTTTTTAGCACCTGAGTCGTATTTTCTTGCGTCCCACTGTATATGTTCTCACTATACTTGCTCTTAGATTTTCCTGAATCGTTTATGTATTCATTTTTAGTATCTAGCCTCAATTCTAAATTTACCGAGTCGTTTTCTTGACAAACATATAGCAGAGAACCCTCGAATGCATTCGAAAAAGCTCTGAGCAGTGTTCACGATACAGATCAATAATCGTTTTTAAGCATGAGTACAGCGTGAGTGCAAATAATAATGTTATTCAGATGTTGACTACGCGGATCACCTGAACGCTGTTAAAAGTCTAAGACCGGGTATGTAATTAGTATCATTGGGTCCGACGGATGATGTGGTTTTTGCATCGGCAGTCCGCTGTGTTTTGACTGTGAATTACAAAGGTGCGATACAGCTAATCAAAAATCAAATAAAAAATCCTCACTTAAAATAATGATGGACCTGAAAGTGAAGCCAATCTATTCGACCTGTGATTGGTCGAGCTACTTATGCCTCGAGACGAAATGCAATAAAGTGACACCTACGGTCAAAATAGTAACTTTCTTAAAAACCCTACTGAAAAATTGCTAGTGTCGCTATAAATTGAATTGCTTAATATATAAAAATTATTAATATGAAAAGAAGAACGTGAAAATTATGTTTTGGTATATTTATTCTTCTACCGATTTATATCCAATGTGAGCTAGAAAACACAATATTGATCTGAAGCAAAGCGTAAATTTATGTGACTGTTGTATTAACAGAAAAGCGATTATTCTCGAACGTCTTACACATCAGATTGTAATATTAATTAATCTATTCAAAATTAAATATTTATAATAACCATTCAACGTCCAATAGTTTTAAAAATAAAGTTTCATCAGTATAAAAGCAGTTGACAAAAAAATGCCAGCAAAATTAATAACTAAAGAATTTTTTCGTGAAAAATCCGCTGCTGTTCATATTATACTTTTAGTAGATTATTTGAATAAGAATAAAATTACACAAGAAAATTTAGATAATGAAGATATTTTGGATGACATAATACGTAAGGGAATGGGTAAATCGGTAAGAAAACGCCTTCCGACAAAAGATATTAATGCGTTTAAAGAAACTCTTCGTTTTTTTAACATTGATGAATTGAAGAAAACTAATCTATACCGAATAAATCGTGGTATATTGGCCGTTGCCTGTGTTGAACATATACTGTACCCTGACAAAGATCATAAAAAATATAAACAAATATATGATTGCGACAAATTTACGGCAAAGAAGGTGTATAAAAAACTGGGTGAACTTTGTGAACACGCAACAGAAGATGAACTCGATCCTATTATAGTTACATCAACTAGATCTTTTTTTAGGAGCACCTTGTTTTGTAATAAAAAGACATCTCTACAAACAGTAAGATCTTATTTGAAAACGGTTGACATTAATGCAGAAGAAAAGCACTACATAATGAATGCGTCGATTCAATTTATGTAAGTCAATGTATTGAAAATGCCTGCTACAATTATATAGTCTAAAAAAATTTAATTTAATTTCCAGTAATAAAAAGAAAACTTTTAAACCTTCAAACACTGTTCCATTTCCAAGATATATTACGAATCAAAAATATTTTCAAAGAAAAGGAAGCGCAGAAGTTTTCATTAATTTGGTAAATTATTTGGAGAAAAAAGAAGTGAAAGAAGAAGATTTAGAGAACGAAAAAATTTTAATAGATATACTGCGCGAGGGAATGAAAAAATTTGTCACCTATCCACCTAAGAAATTAGAATTAGAAGAGTTTAAAAAAACAATTATTAATTTTAAAATCGATTACTTAACTGTAACTAATCTTTATCGATTGAATGCTGGGATATTAACGATCGTATGCGTTGAATATGCTCTTTTTCCTGGACTAGATTATGAAGAGTATAGAAAGATTTATAACAGCAATTACTCTAAGGCTGCCGCATTATATAAAGAACTCTGTGGTATTCCTAAAGAAAATAAAGTCAATGAAGCCTTAGCTAAATCGGCTAGATCTTTTTTTCGGTGTAAAAATAGAAATCTGGAAACGATTCGATTATATTTACAAAATATCGATATTGATTCTGAGGAGATAGAATATATAAAAAATGCGTCGATTCAATTGATGTACGTAAATATGTTAAAATTAATACAATTATATACTTAAAATATTTAATTTAATTTTCAGTAGAGGTAATGAAGCTCTTTATGCTGATAAACCAGGGACAAATACGATAAGTCCAATCGAAGATGATCCAATAAATATGATCACTGACGACGAGGAGACCCTTCCACCTATGCGAGATATCCCATTTTTACAAGATATGACATTGGTAGTAGACCAGGGATTAATGTGAGTAATTACTTCAGAAATGTCTCATCCAATTTTATATTCGAAGATTTAATTTAATTTTTAGTATAAGTAATAAAGATGAACAATCAACCAACATGATGGTACCAATCGAGTATCATACAATAAATGTGCCTATCGATGACGAGCAGCCCCATCCAAATATGATCCAGATTATATATCCAGATATGCCATCGTTAAATGTTGACCATCCTTCAATGATATCGATACCGATAGACCAGGAATTAATGTGAGTAATTACTTTAGAAATGTCTCATCCAATTTTATATTCGAAAATTTAATTAAATTTTTAGTAAAAGTAATAAAGATGAACTATCAACCAACATGATAGATCTAATCGAAGATCATCCAATAAATGTGACCACCGATGAAGAGGAAACCCTTCCACCTATGCTAGATAATATGCCATTGGAACATGTTGACCCTCCTTCAGTTGTACCAATACCAGTAGACCAGGGATTTCTTTCCCGTTACTCTCCCAATGAGGTGGTGTTGGCGAAAAGGTTCAAATCGTATTTCTGGCCAGCACAAATTATTGAAGTCCATAGTGATAAGATATATGTTACATTTTTTCCTCTATCAGAAGAAATGGAGAAAGAGGAAGTCTCATCGGAAGAAGATGTAAGAGCTTTTACGGATAAAGAAATCGAAGCCGCTGGTGCCTCTCTATGTACAGGTTTATCACAAGTAGCCTTTAAAAATGCAGTGAAATTTGCTTCAGCAGAATTGAATTGAATACATTCTCGTTAATTTATGCATGCAATAAATCGTTTTATTATGATACTCCAGGAGGTCGGGGTTTTCATCTCAAAAGATTAGTGATAAACTTATAAATTTGTACAATAAAAAGAATTAATATGCCTTGTTGTGTAACGCACCGTTTAATGCCACATTTTTGCGCCATGTATTTAAACTATTTGCACTGAATCATCATTAAAAATATAATGAAATGTCTAAAGTTTCATGTGCACGCGTAGACATGGCAACTGTACCCGCGAAAAAACAGACAATAATTTCCTTAGCTTTCCAAGAAGTCAGATTTTCGAAATTTCGGTGACATTTCGACCCGCGTAATAGCTGTTTCTTCGTGCAGTACCCCGTGTTGTTCAAACTCGGATGTTTTAAGACGTTTATCGACGTATTTTAATTTTTATAGAAATAACATGTACTCTCTGAAAAATATGTACTTCGATTAGAAATCTCCTCAGCTTTCGAACTATATCACAAAATCGTAAAAATACATTTTTTGAGATATTTAATGTTTGAAGTTCAGTTATATTCCGGAGAAAATGGAAAATTTTCGGAAATTTCACTCCACTATTGAAAAGCTGAGGAAATTTCCAAATGAAGCCATATGTCACATAATTTTTTGTAAGTGAGTTCAGGGGGTTTTTCGGCGAATTAGAAATTAAGCAACTTCGCCTGAAATTGCCGTGCCGCCTCCACGCTATATAGGATACTTGTGGTATTAAACGCCTCATATGATCGATCGACTTTTGCAAGTGATAATATACATTTACAGGTTGTACAACACACACAACGATTGAGGCCTACAACTAACCGATCGTCATGTGCATTCAACGGCAAATGTAATAGATAGACCACTCCCGAGCCTCGTGTATAATTTTCGCTCGTCGTAGCTATGTGTGAACGTCGAGCCTTGACTTTCGTGCATTCGAAATTTCACATTGTTCTTCGTACTTTTGTATGTATTTGAATTAAAATCAGAATGTTTTCGACGGTTTCGCCGATCTACATCGGTATTTTCGGGAGATAAACAAATAAAAACAAACGTTATAGATAACTCGTCCTCAGTCGATTAGTCATACTGGAAACTTTCATAACAGAGCTCACAATCGAATAACATAATTGTTTTTGTAAATAAATGTGAATTTGAATGTTCGAAAGCAAGAACTGTGTGCTTCAATTTTCATCTCATTCGAATCATGGCTCATATAGCGACGTCATACCGATTCGAACCGATTCATGTTCGTTAAAACTGGCAAGAAATGCGCCGCAATGTCCCTTCGCTTGAAACGAGAATAAGCTTAATTTTATAATAACAAAACCAATGATGAAAAGCACGCGATACAGCAGGCGTTTTTGATCAATAAAAGCTTTTTGTGGCTTTTCTACTGTAATGCCATATGATAGACTTACAATATGAGGTTCTTTATAATGTTTCAAATCCTTACCAAATTTATGACGCAAGTAATTTTTGTGTTATTACTATTTCGATCGTGCGGAGACAATCACTAATGCAAATGCGGTCATAAAAATCTCTCTAAAAAGTCTGCAGTCAAAAACCGCATTTTTTTTGAGAGATTTTCATGACCTCATGTTCGAAAAAGAGTTTTTTTTCGCAAGTTATCAAGAGAGATTTTTTCGATCGCACATCACTGGAACAGTGATACTCTTCGTAAGCATGGTCGATTTATACTTATTCAGAGTACCCTTTATAAATTCGATCAGTTTTTGCTCCGTTAATTAATCGGTACTTAATGCGAGAAGAAGACTCGACGAGAATGACTGTTTTGAGATTTAAGATGGAAGAAGGGCCATGACGAAGAGGTCCAGAATTTTACATGAATGGAAATGGACAGATAACAGCTCAAATGGATCGGCCACCGACAAATAAGTACATAATCCATGTAAAAATCTGTGAACTTTGATCTGCGTATCGTTGAGATTTTTCCCATTGTCCTCGAGTAAGCAACGACCTCATACAGATCGTCTGTTTTTTTTCTATTACATCTACTTAATTCACCACGATTAATATGATTCCCTTTCTGCGCTGACTTAATTACTTTCTTCATCGTATCTATCTGTTCGTAATGGTAAAATGCGATTGCATAAGATTTACTACCGTCCCTTCCATAGCGACCAATTTTTTGTACGTACATGGTGTGCGACTCCGTCGCTGGATGAAATCACTACTTAGGCGCCTGCCCGTCGCACCAGTCCTTCAAGCTCTGACACCGATGGAACTAAGTGAGGCTTTTGAGGCTTGCGTTCGAGAGAGTCAACGACACAGCTATCATGAAGATATCACAGCGTTGTCTAAAAACCGCCCTGTTCCTGCGAGGGGGCCGCTGGCAGCGCTCAATCCATTTCTGTGTCCGAACTGTGTCCTCCGCGTTGGCGGGCGGCTGCACCACTCGTCGCTGAGCTGTGTTTTGTATATGGGTAAGGCTCAGAATTTTTTAAATAAACCTGCGCTCGTATGTCACCGATCTTGACGCGCTTTTGGTATGTTATAGTACATGGTAAAAAAGACCCAAAACCAAAATTTTAGACCCCCTCCCCCCTCCTACCCCCCACTTCCGGTATAAACGTCCATTTTCTATCTATATTTTTTCTGAAGGCCTGAAGCAATTAAAAAATCTGAAAAAATTCACAAAAATACTTTTCAACAATCCAAACAACCTTGAATTTTTTCAGATTTTTTGAGTGCTTCAGGCCTTCAGAAAAAATTATTGAAAATTTTGAAAATTCATATACGGCGCTACGATGCAATACAAAGCCCGATCTTTTTTTCCACTTATTTTTGACATCAAAATACATAACCTCAAATTTTTTCAGATTTTTTCATACAGAGCGCTGGCGGTTTTGAGCCGAAAAACGCCCTTTTTTTACGAAAATAATTTTTTTAGGGCGATATGAAGCTTTAAAAAATCTGGAAAAATTTTTTTCTTGTTTTTCAGGTCAAAATACATAACCTTGAATTTTTTCAAATTTTTTAATTGAAGGCGATAGCATCTATGGCTAAAAAACGCTATTTTTATGAAAAACGGTTCCTGGAACCCAGAGGTTCCGGTAAAAAAATTTGAAAAAATTTTTTTCGAATTCCTTGTCAAATTTTAATAAATTTTGACCGTCGCAAAATTTCGATTGGAGCTTCCTAGCTCATTCTAGAGCATAACAAAGATTCGAGCGAAATTCTGAAGACGTTCATCACAATTACATTATTTTTCAAATTTCTTCAGAATTTCGCTCGAATCTTTGTTATGCTCTAGAATGAGCTAGGAAGCTCCAATCGAAATTTTGCGACGGTCAAAATTTATTAAAATTTGACAAGGAATTCGAAAAAAATTTTTTCAAATTTTTTTACCGGAACCTCTGGGTTCCAGGAACCGTTTTTCATAAAAATAGCGTTTTTTAGCCATAGATGCTATCGCCTTCAATTAAAAAATTTGAAAAAATTCAAGGTTATGTATTTTGACCTGAAAAACAAGAAAAAAATTTTTCCAGATTTTTTAAAGCTTCATATCGCCCTAAAAAAATTATTTTCGTAAAAAAAGGGCGTTTTTCGGCTAAAAACCGCCAGCGCTCTGTCTGAAAAAATCTGAAAAAATTTGAGGTTATGTATTTTGATGTCAAAAATAAGTGGAAAAAAAGATCGGGCTTTGTATTGCATCGTAGCGCCGTATATGAATTTTCAAAATTTTCAATAATTTTTTCTGAAGGCCTGAAGCACTCAAAAAATCTGAAAAAATTCAAGGTTGTTTGGATTGTTGAAAAGTATTTTTGTGAATTTTTTCAGATTTTTTAATTGCTTCAGGCCTTCAGAAAAAATATAGATAGAAAATGGACGTTTATACCGGAAGTGGGGGGTAGGAGGGGGGAGGGGGTCTAAAATTTTGGTTTTGGGTCTTTTTTACCATGTACTATAACATACCAAAAGCGCGTCAAGATCGGTGACATGCGAGCGCAGGTTTATTTAAAAAATTCTGAGCCTTACCCATATATATTCTCTTAGGAATTTTTTTCAATTTACTGAAATGACGTTTAAGGTTTTTTCCACGAGAGGGGTCTTGTTTCTTCAATAGCTCTATTATTTAATCTCTGTAGCAATCTTTAACATCTATAAAAAGCATATCTCTGAATTTAACGCATCCTAATGATTTAGTTTTCTGCCCTCGACCCTGCTACAACTGGAGACTTCGTTGTTGCTGCCGCAACTGCTGTTCCTGTGGCCGTCTTGTTGCTTCGGTCATCATTGCACAGCCAGAGTCGAAGCCCCGCTTCGTTGCTCTGAAAAGCAAAGCAGCATCATCTTCATCCATAAAAGCTTATTTATATCAATTTTCATAACATAAAGTACAATTGAAATAAAAAGGCATTGATTTATTTGATTCGTGTCATTTTAATGTACGTAATTATTTAATACATGAAAATCTCGTTTTATGTATTTTTCTCACGAGTCATTGGATGATCGATTCAAATGATATTCATCGCTTTAACAAAATGTACAATATTTTTTTTACAATATTTTCATCTTGAAATTTATTTACAAGCAAATACTAACTTATTTGTATGATTGAATTGTACTTCTTTCAAAGTTTTACTCCATAAGTAATATGGCTAATTACATTGATTCTTTTGTTAAATAAAATTTATTTAGGATTTAAAATTATTTTATTCAAAGGAAATCTTTGTAGCCAGCTTATATGAAAAGCTAATATTAAGGTTAATTTTTTTAACATCGGTGACAAATATAAAAATCATAACGAATTATGCTACAGTAATGACCACATCATCAATGTTAGCTACAATTATCTATACATCAGCTCGATCCAAACTTCATCAAATAAATTTTTATTTACAGTTAATCCGTGAAAATATGTTTTTAAAATCACTACTTCATGCTACCCTTTTTCGATTTAAGTGTGAATTTTCCCCATTTTATGTTTTTACATTATAATTATAGATTTTATTTAACAACTATCCATTTTATTTATATTGTTTTCAATGAATAATCCTGATTTACTATTATGGTTGATAATAAAGCTAAAATTGTTCTGAAGAAGAAGTTATGATACATTTTTTTCCCAATTTTTTTTGAGTTTGGCTTCAAAAGTTTGACGAGAAAGCTCTTACAAAAGTGTATTAATAGACTGGATACCTCAAACTTAAACAATTTGAATCGCCGTCGTTATCAGGATTATCATCAATTATAACTCTAGTTATATGCAGATATATTTTATTTCCGTCACATTCATTATCAGTTTTATTTTTCGTTGGATTAATGCTCAACATTTTTCAATAGTATGTATTTACAATAAATCGTCTTCATTTTGCGATACGAATTCTCGTATGCGAGTAGAAAAGTCTATAAATTACGTAACATTATAATACATGGTAAAGGGTATTTAGGACGTAGATCAAAGGTGGATTCAAGAAAGAACAACGGGAGATGGCTATATTATGTCACTTGCTACAGGATATTTAAATATGCGTAAGTGGACAGACCCAAATATATTTTCGTTATAGGATATTACAGATTTATTTCAGGATATCGAAAAGTTTACCGTGGCCGAACTAAGGCACTTAATTGATGACTTACAACTTCTTAAAATTATTATCATTACCATTATTATTCGTAAATAATATTTAAATACAATATTAATTGGCGTCTCTTTTTGCTGTCGTTTCAACTCGTTCGAGCAATACTCACGAAGTTCGAACGAAGCGCAACGAAACACGAGAAGCCCCTCGATCGCGCGATATCAAATTCCATACGTGGATTTTAGTCGAAAAATCGGAGAAGAAAAACAATGGAAACAGAATTTGAAAGCGAGGCGCGAAATCAAAGTCGTAATCGACCGAAGCTGTACGCGCGAGAGTCGACTTCGATATCAACGGTAAGAATATTCCGTACATTCACGAGTGTAAATATACGCTCGATAAAATCCAGCAATACCCGAGCCCACGGTATACGAAGGAAGCGCCCGTAATTGGTCTGGTAAACTCGATTAAAATGAAAATCGGATAATCATAAAAATTATATCTCATCACGATAACGCGGTGGTGGTGACAGCTGGGAGGTGTTGTGAAAAAAAGCTCTCACGCGGACACCTTACAGAGTCGTAGGTAAAGCTCGACGTACGTCGATCCACGTCGGAGCTATGGAAGAAATAACGTAAAAAATATCATTGCGAGTTGATGCGTCGTCTTTCGCGCGTCGACCTGTAAAAAGCTCGAGCCGTTTCATTGAAAAGTAAAGCAATTTTCGAAGTTAAATCCACGCGAGACTCGGCGAGCAGTTCATGCGTCACGTGTCGTACAGCTCTTTGCGTTCCGTGCAACGTCGAGACTGGAGTTTCGATTTTCGTCCGTCGATAAAAAAGGAGACAAGGAAGAAGAGGCTTTGAAGTTGCGACGCAGATAACGTCGATACATGTCACGACAAGGACAATGTGGCCGTCAACCATAATTCGATGGAAGTCTTGGTTTACTCACACACATATGTCATATTATATATATACACACACACACACAGACACACTTAACGATTTCTCATGCGACACATTATCATATGTACACTTAAATACAGCAGCAGCAGCAGCAGTGCGAAAGTCGCGTAACAGCGGCACAGAGTAACTTCCGCACTGTGTACTAAATATATACAGGATTGACGGTAGTCTTTTTGCTGGTCAAGGAGCCGGAACTGGCTTTGGGTCAGCAGAACGCCGTGTCCTCGATCACGAGCCCACTGCCCTGGATGTGATTGTTATTGTGATGATGCTGATTGCCGTTGTAATAGCCGGCGGGATGGCCGCCGCGAAAGGACGACGAGCCACCGCCGCCGCCGCCGCCGGCGGCCTTGAGCGAGTTGCTCGGGTAGTAGACGCTCGATCTGCCCGACGACGAGCCGTTGTTGAGGCCGCCGCCGCCCCGCAGCGACGGCTGGTGGGCCTGGCCGGAGGCAGCCAGACCCGAGGATCTCTGCGAGCCGCCACGATGGCCGTGGTGTCCGCGCTTGGTCGAGGTCTTGAGCTCGATGTGGCTCGTGGCGATCGAGTCGTCGTTGGTCTGCAGGTCGGGGCTCTCGGCGCGATTCACCGACCGGCCCATGCAGTCGAGGCCCGTCTCCGCCGACACCGGACAGAACAGCTTCAGGAAGATCCGCTTGAACTTGCGCCCGAAGATGACGTAGATGACGAAGTTGATGCCGCTGTTGAAGGTGACGAGGATGTTGCCGGCCATCAGTATCCACTGGGGTATGAAGTGGCTCGTGTTCTCGAGGATGTTGCTCACCATCGGCAGTATGTTGCAGACCAGAAAGACGATCACGACGCAGAGCAGCATCGTGGCGAGGCCGAGCTCGCGTCGCTGCGTGTGCGACAGCAGGCGCAGATTGCGATTCGCCGTGCGCACCTGTCGTGTGCACCAAGAACACAAAGTCATAATAATAATTGTAATAATAATAATGAGAGAGAGATGCAATTATACGGATTGATCGCGACGCTTTGCAGCGAGGCGACTTTTTACATAGTAATAATAATAATAATAATAATAACGAGTCGATCAGTACCAAAGGGATTCTATCGACCCTTTTGACGCGTTTTCAAACGGAAAGAAAATCGCGCGCACCGCGTTTATGCGTTTTTTTTTCTCGCAACGGCGTCCATCAGCATATTTTTGTCACCTGCGAGCGCTGACATAAAAAAAAAAAAAAAGAAGAGGAAAGCAAAAAGGAAAGAAAAAGAAATGTCAAGCAGTTACGCGAACGTGTAAGTACACTTTATCGAGTCGTAAAAACATGCCCGGGTCTCGGCCGGGTATAGCTGCCCCCCGCGCGACAATAAAAGAGTATGGAGTAAGAGAGAGAGAGAGAGAGAGAGAAAAAAAGTCCTCTCCACGGCTCGAGGTAATATTATTACTCTTTCATCGCGTGTGCGCGCGCACACATATATACGATACCATGTACAATGTAACCTGCAGCAGTCGCGCGCGCGCGGGGAAAGGAAAAAAAAAATAGAGATAGAGAGAGAGAGAGAGACTCACCTTGTTGTAAATGAGGCCGTTAAAGATAACGATCAGCACGAAGGGGAACGTGTAGTAGACGAAAAAGTACATCCAGTGCACGTAGATGGCTATGTAGAGCGGATCCTTGCGCATCTCCGTGGCCATGAGGCAGGGCACGGTCTTGTTCAGCGAGTTCACCGTCTCCGTGAATTCCAATTCGAAGAGTCTTGGCGAGATAGAAGAAAACAAAAAATAGAACGATAATAATAATAATGAAAAAATACGCAAGTCGTATTAGGCGGGGCTTATTATTATATATATAAAAGTTGCGCGTCACTATCTGTATGTATACTATATGTATTGGCTGCTATTCAATGGATTGCGTTGTGTACATATATATACGTAATAATTCCATCGGATTTACGAGAGATGTATTTATCGATTTAACAAGTATATATCCCTCGGGGGCTCGACGAGAGAGAGCTAGAACACCCGCCCGGCCGCTATACAGGAACTTGATTAATTTACCGCCGAGCGGTATCTGCAAAATTCATCCTCTCCCCCGTGTTTTTCTCTCGGTTTCCCATTTTTTCTGTCTTTTTTTTTTTCAATTACTCATTTTCCCATTTATTTATAACCCTGCGCGCGCGCACGCTCGACGTCGAGGCTTTAATTGCTTCGCGCGGTCTACGCTGGCCTCTGGTACGGCACGTGTATTATATATACTACGAAGAATGAAAAAAAAAAAAATATGAAGAAAGGAGGCGGCCAGTAGTCCGCGCGCGGCGTCGATTTTTCTCTGTCAATTTTCCAACTGATTTGCGCGAAGAGCAGCGAGATGAAGAAGAAGAAGAAGCAGCAGCAAAAAAGGAAGAGTAAACGCGCGCGCGCGCAGCCCGACGGAGCAATGCATATTTAAATATCTCGACGTTTGTGTATACGTATATATAAAATACGCGCACGTGGCCTCGCCTGCCCGTCTGCCCGCCTGTGCCCGAGTACTCGTATAATTGGACAGTAATGAGGCTTGAATTGAAAAATCAAAGTAATAAATCTCACTTGGCCTGGGCTCTCGCTCGCGCGCCCATATATATACTACTACTACAGTCGCTATACTACTAGTCTACGCGTTTCATTCAATCAAGTCCCTCGAGTCGGCGACGGGGGCTAGTAGTAGTATATGTAGAGCTCGATATGCGCGCCGACGAGAAATGCCGTCCTCTTCCTCCCGCGTTGCTGCTTCTCTCCCATCGCCATGCAGCTCCGAAGAAAATATACATTTATTTTCGCGGCTGCGTGTATATAATGCAATGGATATAATATATCCCGTGTATACCGGAGTATATTTATACACGAGAGAACGAAGGCGAATGAAAAATCAGTGAAAAAGTGTCCGCAATTAGTATATTTCGTTGCAGTCGAGAAAGAAGTGCGCGTATATATTATTTCTGGAGAGAAGCCGGGGGCAGATTAATCTGAAAGTATACGCAAATTTTTCGGCTCGTCCCAAGAGATTATTTCGAATGCTTCGGCTCTGGACGCAATAACTCAAAAGCCCTCGGTAATTAATCGAATATGTATAGCGCACAAGTGGTACGACAGCAGTGGTACATATTAAGCATCGCACTTTGGAGATGGCCATCTTAGAAGCGGTCGGGGGAGTAAACACATTTTTCTTTCGACCCATCATGTGTAGGGCGAGAGATCAAGCTCGCGGTTGAAACCTTTCGCTCCACCCGCACACGGCTCTCCGATTTTCGAGAGAAAAGAGTGGCAAAAAAAAAAAAAAAAATTCGGTAGCCGACTCATTTGCGCGCGATAAGCTCGCGCGATTTATGCAGCGCAGCTCGATCGTAACGCGCGTCGCGCAAAAGCACATTGGCTCGGTCGATCAATCATCCGCTTTCGCGACACGCGGCGTAGCCAAGCTAAAATATATATATAACATATATCCGAGGGTATATATAAGCGCGGGGCCGGGGATGTAATGTAAGTCGTCGAGCTGCCAGCCGATCGTGCCTCGCCAAGCAGAAAAATCGAAAGAAAACGAAGAGAGAGAAAAAAAATTGGAAAATACGTAGAGGAACAAAAAAGGGTATTTAATCGAAATGCCACGTCTCTCGATCGCGGCTCGATGGATTAATTTTGCAATCGCGCGGTGTAAGCGCGCGAGATCGCGACGAGCTTATACAGCTCGAGAGCGGGTGGGGTAATATAAGTGTGTGCTGCCGGGGGATGATGCGTTCGGCAATGCATATATATAGAAGGGCAATTGGAGCTCTCGATTCCTCGGCGCGGTATAAATTCCTCGGGCTCTTCGAGCTGCGAAATCTTATTCCCGCGCGAAGACGCGAATAAATGTCGGTTCTCCTCTGCACGAAGCTCTGCGAAGCTTTTATACACGTATATATGTCACGAGGAAAAGCTGAGCTACGCGAGCAAAGTGAGAGAGAGAGAGAGGTATAAGGGAGGAAAAGCAAAGTGGAAAATAAACGAAAAGCGTTTACTCCCGCGAGTAATAAACACGGACGGCCACGCGTGCATATGGCCACGCAGCCGGCCCGAGAGTATACAGGGAAAAGTTCGAGAGCTTTTTTTTGTCGTTGCTTATAGCTGTAGCGTATAGCAGCAGTTGTCCTCGTGCGACTTTATATATATATATATATGTACAGAGAAAAGAGTAGTGGAAACTGGAGGCTCGCGCGCACACACGATAGCCAATCTCTTGTTTTATTCGATTCTTTTTGGCTCCGCGCTCTTTCTCTCGCACTCGCGTCGCACGCACAAAGGAGGTACGTACAAAGAAGCGATTTTTCATTTAGAGATAAAATAACAACGACAACGACGACAAAGGATCGAGATCGATGAAGAGAGAGAGAGAGAGTCGCGAGATGGTCTCGGGCGATGAAAATTAACACGCGTACTGTACAGATACGCGGTATCGGAAAAAGCTCGCCGGCGATTGTAATAATTATTATTGGCAGCTGTTGCCTCTCCCGAGAGAGTCACACGCGATCGCGCATGTATATATCTCAAATTGAAGTCCGCCTACCCTCCGAGTATCTATACTATATCTAATACGTATAATATTATGTATACTCACTTGGGCACGTTGTAGGAGACGGCGAACAGGGCGATGGCGCAGAGGGCCCACCTGGCCCTCGAGTAGGTGCACAGCGATCTGGCCTTGAGCGGATGGCAGACCGCGACGTAGCGCTCCATCGTCACGGTGAGGGTGATGTAGACGGTGGCCATCTGGAAGGTCGTCGAGAGCGGGAACAGGTAGCGTATGATGCGCGGGAACACGTTGTGCTTGTACTCGTGGAACAGGCCCGTGTAGTCGGTCAGGCCCGGTATCGCGTAGATCAGTACCTGCGAATTCGTTCAAATCAATTATATCGTATATACGCGGTGTATATATATGTACTGAGATAGCACTCAAAGTACCACTCGGAGTGCTCGCGTTGCGCTATGTACGAAGAGCGTGTCTTTGAAGTTCCGTCTTACCTCGCGGATCCAGAGAAACTTTCTCTGTTTATTTCAAAAGTGCAGCAAGGTAAATACTGCGCAGCTATCTCTGCCTCTATATACATCTCGGCTAACTTGTAATCGAATGTATACGAATTAAACTTTTCTTTCTCTCTCTCTCTCTGTCTCTCGCGAGCGAGCGAATTAGCTCGTTCTTCTCCGGCATAATAATCTTCTTCTCCTTCGTTCTCGCTGTATTACGTACGCTTCGCGATTCTACTGCGCGGCAATATCGTATTACGACGTATATCATATATATATATATAAGCTCGTTTATGCCGCGCTGTACCGTAACGTCTTTGTACATTATGTATTTATTGTATTTATCTCGAGATATACGCGGGATATATATACGCGTATAACGAGTCGAGGCGCATCGCGGCGGAAAACGAAAGACAGCTGCCATTAATCACCCCTTTTACCAATCATTAAAACCCGCGCGCGGGCAAGACATCGAAATTTATCGTACGCGCACGCGTTTATACATGTATATATAGACGAAAGATTAAAGCGCCTCCTTTAATCGAGCGAAATAATCGCGTATATATCGATACTGCCGCGCTGGCCCTGGATAGCAGCTCAATTTCTCGCGCCGAAGCTCGTTTATACGCGCGTATACGCGCGTATTATTAAGCTTTTAATCCTCCGCGTAGACGCGTGTATGTGTTCGAGTGCCACCCCCTCCATGTGGGCAGTGTGTATGTGTGTATGTGTGTTTGTACGTGCGACGATTTCGTGAAAATTTAATCGTGTACCACCGCCATCTTTTTTTTATAACGCGCACGATGCGCTCGCATATAGGCAATATAATCATTATAAGTATGAGGGGGCTACGATGAAACTTTCATACGCGAGGCGCTTGTTACTTATACGAGACCGTCTTATTTTTTTTACGTTCCGTATATGCAGCGTATATATAAAGCTGCGCGAGCGAGAACGAAAGATACGACCGTATAGCTGTAGGTCGGTCGCCGAGATATTGTCGACGTACGTGAAAATTCACGGAGGGGAGGAGAGATTTTTTGAAAAATCGAATGTCAATTTATATTAGTATTTATTATATATACAATATTATATTATACAATACAATATTATATGTACAAGATTTCCACTTGGTTCGTTACTAGCATGACGTGGTGCTCTGACCGGGTAAAATTCGGTCGACTTCCTCGAGAAAATCGTCCAAAAGTACAAAATTTCCACCTTGTACACCTCTAACGTGACGTGGTGCTCTGAACGGGTAAAACGCGGTCGACTTCCCCGAGGAAGTCGTCCAAGAGTACAAGATTTCCACTTGGTTCGTGACTAGCGTGACGTGGTGCTTTGACCGGGTAATACCCCGTCGACTTCCTCGAGGAAATCGTCCTCTAGGGCAATATTTCCACCTGGTACCCGTCTAGCGTGACGTGGTGCTCTGACCGGGTAAAACCCCGTCGACTTCCTCGAGGAAATAGTCCTCTAGGGCAATATTCCTGGCTCTCGACTACCATGGCGTGGTGCACCAATCGCGAGTGTGGAAGAATATGTCCATTCGCACATATCTCATTGTCAAACTCGTAAGGTAACTATTAATATATGAATCTGAAATGTAAAAATATCGAGGACCCAAAATTCAACTACGCGCTGCCTATTAACTGTTAAGAAATTCTTCTCTCAGTCTCAAAGATAAGAGAGCACTAAAATTTAACCGCGTCCTTATGTCTAAACGTTTTGACGACTTTGATCGCGTGTTTACATTTTCATCGGCTATGGGCCATCTCGCGTTCGCGATCGAATTTACTCAGCGATGGATAGTCTCCTCAAAGGCGCGCACAACATGTAATTAATCCTCAATATTACAGATCCATACAAACTTTCTTTATTCAACGACACTAAGCGATTTTTCTGGAATTTAATTACCATTTTTTTAGTTGATTCGTTAATCATCTTCAATTTCAATTTGATTAAAATGAATCGTACCTCTTCAATTAAAGAAAGCCTCCCCGAAAAAAGACCTCGCACACGAGCGAAAGCAACTGCCAAGTGGCGCATCAATTCGTGCATAATACACATTATACACGATAACGTTGATCGCGCGACGCTACGTAATATCGTCGTTACAACTGCACGCCCGCGAATATGGCCGTTAAACGCGCGTGTATAATAATATAACTCGCGTACATATATACGTAACGGCGAGCGCAAAACGTTGCCCGATTCCCGCGTTCCCGACGGATTGCAGTTTATTATAGTACATTACATCCCATCATCGTCGTCGTCGTCGTTGTCGTCGTTGTGCGATGACGATGATCGCGTCGCCCGTCGCGCTGCAGACGCGTAGTACTACAGTACGAGTGCATCAGCGGCGGTGGCGGCGGCTTCCCAGTAAATTGTAAATTATACGGCACTATATTGAAACTCGCGAGCGCGCGAATTAGCGTCCGAGTACCCATGCTCAAAGACGTCATAATCAACTCGTTTTCCTCCTCTCCGCTACATATAACATAACGTACAACGCATCACTTTTAACTCTGGCGCGTTATGTGTAGTTTCGCTATTGTGTATGTACACGACGCTTATAATACCAGTCGATATCTCGCGTACATACATGATTTTTGCGCTGTATTATACACATACATTACAACGACGAATTAATTAATTCGCTACAGGCAAATTAAAGTATACGATACAGTTCATAGCATATATGTTTGCCTATGTATACATGGTGTGCTTGCGCGAGCTTGCAATTTAGCCCGTATTAATATTGACTTTCCATATATACGCACACATACACAGGCACACGTGCGCGCGACGCGCGTTAGATATAAACTCAGCCATCCTACTAATTGAATGCAACCAGAGTGTGTGTCTGGGTGTGTATATATAATATAAGCGAGATGTACCCCATATCCATAAATGAAAATTGCCGAGCTTGAATTATTTTGCGCGCGCGCGTATAACCGCGAGCAGCCCGCTATACAATAAAAAAAAAGCAACAAGAAGAAGAAGAAGAGGATGAAAAGAAAGAGCCACGAAGGCGCATAATAACGAATTCATGACGAGCTTTAAATAAATTCTCCTCTCCTTTTTGTTGTTGTTGTGGGCTGCTGCTGCTGCTGCTCGTCGGACGCGCGCAACCGAGTAGTGTAGCGGGTATCGTATACGTATATATATATAAGGGGCAAAAATAGAGCATCGAAAAGTAAGTAAAGCTCCCTCGTGCTAGCTATATACTATATGCTGCACACGGTAGCAGCAGCAGCAGCAGCGGAGCATAGGAGGCAAGTCGTGTCTCTGGGGTAAGGTTTTTGCTGCTTGCGGTTCTATACAAGTGAGTATACACGTACACTACTAAGCTTGAGCCGTACGTACATATATATATATATACAGCTAGATGAACGCAAGAGTGAGCAAGAGAGAGAAAGAGAATAAGAGTTGCAGCAGCAGTACAGACACATACACACACACAAACACACACAACAAACAAAACGATGCGAGTCGAGCGAAAGAGAGAGAGAGAAACGAACGGTTGGCTCAAGATGATTAAGGAGCGTTACGTGGAGAGTAGAGCTCGGAGAGCCGCCGCGCCGTGAGCTCCGTGAGGAGTAAACTTAACGCTCATCGAGGGATATAGACTCGCTCGTACATATATATTTAGAGAAAGAGAGAGAGAGAGACGCTGCAGGCAACGGCTATACACGGCACACACATATAGATACCTATATATACGCGTACGATTGCCGGCTGTATCGCGCGCGCTCGCGCCCCCGAGAAAAGAGAGAAGAGGGTAATCTAAGCAATAACGATAAGTTTGCTTAAACGACGTCTCCCGTATACCCTATATATATGCACATCGTCGTCCCCCGCCGCCGACTATTATTATTTCTTCAAATCCTATCGCTGCAATTGTCGCGCTTATCGACTATTTTGCTTTCTCCCTCTTATACACTCGGCGCAGTCGTGCTTACGTCTGTGTCTCTGTATCTGTGTGTGAGCGTGAGTGCACGAGCGGATTATAACGCATACGAAACGCCCTGGCTCGACGACGGAATACATTTGGTCGCGGAGCTTGCGCTCGAGCTTTTTCTCTCTCTCGCTCGCTCGTGTACTGCCAAGTTATGCCGCGAGCGAGCTTTGTGTATTTTTAGGGTAAAATCTTAGGCTATACTTATATATAAAACCTGCATGTGTGCATATGTTATAGGAGGAGCGGCCGCCACGCGACACGTTTGCGTGAGCGCATATTATAATCTGTGTGCGTCTGTGTGTGTGTATGCGTTTATAATATTATATTACGGCGACGGGGCACGTGAGCTTAATTCGCTGGGCGAGCGCGAGAGACCAGCTTTGCATATCGCGAGAGCACATGGCGCGCGAGACTCGCGACTGTATACGCGTTACATAACTTGGATTATATATATGACGAGTATATAGTTGAGATAAAAAAAGTAGGCAAAAAAAAAAAGAAAGGAATGACGGTGAATATTTTAATTATGTATCGCGTAGCTTTTTGCTTTTCTTCTCTGCTTTTTTTTTATATATAATATAATGACGACTTTTCCGCGGCAGGCTCTTTTCTTTCTGCGCTGTTTATACTCTGCTAGCGCGAGACAAGATACGGACAAATTTCGTATGCCTTGAAAAGTGCGCCCTGCAGTGAAATTTCTTGGGTAAATATATGTGTGTGTATCCGTATACACGTGCGCGCGCGCCCGAGAGAGAGAGAGAGAAGCGAGCACATAACGATATAAATTTTCATATTTTCCTTCGGACGAGGAGACACGAAGAAAGCGACGCGTGGAGAGGTAGACGTGAGCGCATTTTACTCCGCCGTATGCCGCGCGGCGATGGAATTTTCAAGTCGACCAGAAAGTATGACAATGAGCGAGTTTATTTTGTCCTCTTTTTTTTTTTCGTTGTTGCTTCAGCTTTGCTTCCTTCGCGAGGAAACTCGGTGATAGGCTTGCAAACGAGTTTTCGAGCAAAGTGTCGTGGAATAATTTTGTTTACATATTTATATGAAACTAAATTGAATTTCGTATACCATTAAAAACTTTGGAATTTGTTGGACATTTTTAAAGTTACATCTCGAAAATAAAATACGGGTTTTTTATCGTTTCAGTTTTTTTCCAGGTTTGAGTTATTTTTTGGAAAGTTCGTAAACGAATGAAAATTGTATCAAAAATTCGGTGCAGTTTCAACAACACGTTATATAGCCTGTGTATGGATCACAGTACATCATTGTGTAGGGGCTAGTCGGCGGTGGAAGGGGAAGGTATCGCCAAGGAGCCATCACAAACACGGGGTCACCTATACTCGCCTCGCTAATATATACACGAGCGGTGCGTTCAGTCGCTGGCGAGGAGATAAATTCCTGCAATAAGCAACTGTTTACAAATTGGTGAAATCGAGGATCAGTGTTGGCTACTCGAGGCGATTAACCTCGAATATTTTTCCGGTTAATTTTGCTAATCGTTTAATTTTTCGAATCATTATAACTAAGCGAGCGATGGAAAGCAAAGAAGGCATAGTTAGGTATACTATTATTTTTGTGAACGCTAATACATTTTTTAAAACGATCTCTTCATTGAATTTGATAATTCCTTAGGGTGAAGGAGGAGCCGAACGATACTTGCCCGGATGCAGGCGACGATACCAATCGAATCGATTCGGTCGACTCTGGCGAAGCCAAAAACTTTGAAACATTCCCAGATTATAAATTACCGGTGAGTGTAAGGATTTGAGTAATGGTCTAATTTTACACTATCAAAAACTATTGTACAATTTTCATTTTAGACAAATCACACGAATGAGGTTATGGCGTTACAAGAAAATTTAAAAGGAAAGATATTTATTGACTTTGAGTGCAAAGGTGTAAAACTTGAACCAACTTATCTATCTACAACCAACTGCAAAATTGAGAATCAAAGCTGCCAATCTATTGTAAAAAAAGAAAACGAAAATCAGATCGATGACATAACTGAAAAAATATTCATTGATTTTGAGTGCAAAGATGTTAAACCTAAATTACCGTCACTGTTGAAAACCATCTACAAAACTGAGCATCAATCTATGGTAAAAGGAGAAAACGGAATTCAGACTAATTATTTTAATGACAAAGATCTGATAATTCTCTCAAAAAAAGAATTCGATTGCGATAATAACTGTGGATTTCAAGAAAAGTCTCGATTGAAACTAGACAAATCTAAGGAAGAGAAAAAATGTGGAATAATAACTCAAAGCAAATCATCTCATGAGTTTAATCAGTGTCGAAAAACGTTTGAAAGAGAAGAGAGTCCAAAAATTCACATCAATATGACACATAAAATCATTAGACCATATCAATGTAAAATTTGCCACAAAACATTTGGACTGAAACATCACTTCAATAGACATGTAAATGCAGTACATGATCGAATCAAACCCTTCGAGTGTAAGATTTGTCACAAATCATTTGGACGAAAAGGTAGCCTCCAAATTCATATAAATGTAGTACATGATTGTATCAAACCCTTCGACTGTGAGATTTGTCACAAATCATTCGGACAAAAAAATAACCTCAAAGCTCACATAATAGCAGTACATGATCGTATAAAACCCTTCGAATGTGAGATTTGCCACAAATCATTTGGACGAAAATGTAAACTCAATCTTCACATAAGTGTTGTACATAATCGTAGCAAACCCTTCGAATGTGAGACTTGTCACAAATCATTTGGAGAAAAATCTACCCTCAAATCTCATATAAATGCATTACATGATCGTAGCAAACCCTTCGAATGCGAGACTTGTCATAAATCATTTGGACGAAAAAGTAAACTCAATCTTCACATACGTTCAGTACATTATCGAATCAAACCCTTCAAGTGTGAGATTTGCCACAAATCATTTGGAGAAAAGGGTAATCTTAAAAGTCACATGAATACAGTTCATGATCGGAGCAAACCTTTCGAATGTGAGACTTGTCACAAATCATTTGGATACTAAAATAATCTTAAAATACACATAAGAGTAGTACATTATTATAGCAAACCCTTCGAATGTGAATTTTGTCACCAATCATTTGAACAAAAATGGTATCTCAAAATCCATACAAATCGAGTGCATAATGGTAGCAAACCTTAAGAACATGAAATTAGTTTTCGAAGACATTTGGATAAAATAAAGACTTTTTTCCCACTCTAACCTAAAATACGCAACTTTGCCGCTAATTTTAGGCTCTCGTAGGAAAAAATAGTATCTCAAACTGGTGCAGATATGGTTTTTTAACAAAACTCGTTACAGCACTCGCCTTCGGCTCGTGCTATAATCCCTCGTTTTGCTAAAAAACCATATGTGCACCCGTTGAGAAATATACTATTGCTATCACATGAGTAAACTATAAAATTTCAGATAAATTTTCAAGTTAATATTAATTCATTTTGTGAAGAACAATAAAATATTTTAAACTGCTCATGATTTTGTCGTGATTGTGAAAGCCCCTTGACTCACCTTTCGTACATTATCTAAAGTTCAAACAATATATCCTAATTACCACCAGTCGAAAAGAAAATTCAACACCATCAATGATCGATAAAAAATTTTTGTAAGTAGTGAAAATTCAGTCCACCCGATGCAATGTATATTATGTATGATCAGAAGACATTACTTTGTAATAATCGCTCGACTCCAATCAACTACGCAGGTAAGTATAACACCTCTTGCAGCTAATAACTTCTCACGTGTATTTGGGCGGCTCTCTATGGAATTAAATGTCCTATTAATTTTTTTTTTCCTGTTGGCATGAAAACTTGTTTGTGACGTTCTAAATATCTCTGAATTATATTAATATTTTAGGGACCGCCGATGGCCCTCTTACAAAGGACCAAATTAGTCTTTTAGAATACTTACGAAGTAAAGCTTTAATGATGAATATTTTAAGTCTCGTTTGGAAGATAAAATGTCTATTTCTTTTAATTTTTCAGAATACTACTTACATCAATTTTAAACTTATATAAATTCGAAATTGCATGAATGATGTATTTCTTTTCGTTAGCGCTCATACATTATAACTATAGAAACAACCCGGGGAAAGAGCTTTTCACCAATGAATTGAAAGTTACTTTTTCTTCTTTCCGAGCGGGCACTTTTACCCCCTTTCGTTTTCTTACTATATCGCACGCGTGGCTCTCGAATTGACGAAAACGCATAAAAGCAGCTGATACGCGTACGTGCGCGGGGTAAGGAGGTACGGATATTAAAAACCACTTATACAAAACTTTCGGTACATAGGAAGGCGAGTTTCGGCAGTCGAAAGTTTTTATGGGTCAAGCAGATTTCGATTGGTCCAAGCGGAATGGGGGGTGGTGGGCCGAGAGCGATATATAGTAAACAACATAACGATTTTATGCAAATCGCTCTATCGAAAGCTTACTCTCGCGAGCGCGCGCCTGGGTTAGCTCGCTATGGCCTCCCGCTGCTTCCCGATTTAATGAGATATTTTCGACGAAACTTTGTTTGTAATGCCGGCGCGATGTGTACGATCGGTCGTTGCGAGTACCCACCCACCCCCCACCCCCTCCCGTTTTGTGTATGATAAATTTGTAAACGCGCGACTACAATACGTTTCCAGCGGAGAGCAGCAGCCACGGCGTTCTGTATGTATATAAACGACTTCCCTCCAATCAATTGTAATAATAATAATAATTTTGATATAAATTAATTAAAATGTCGAGCAATAATGATAACAATAACAATGGTAGTAATAATAAATATAATAATAATAATAACAGTAGTAATGACGATAGGAGTCGGAGCGGAGGAAAACGATTGGCCTACTTATTTTCAAAGACAGAGCGGAGACAGAGAGACAAGCTCGGATAGATAGATAGAGAGAAAAGAGAACGAGAGAATAGAATTATATACACTCTTCTCTCGCAGTGTGTATATAAACGCGATCTCTCTCTTCCCCTCCGCTCCTCGATCCGCGCGTATATATATAAACTGTCTGTCTGTCTGCTGTTGCTGCTGCTGCTGCTGCTCTCGATCTATATACCCGCATTCGCAAGCTCGATCTCTCTCTCTCTCTCTCTCTCGCTGTATTACGATTCGGAGGAGGGAAGCTGCTGCAGCATCAGAGACTCGCAATTCTCTCATTCCCTCACGAGTCCGATTGAGATTAGAGATAATTCAGAGCTGTAACGAATCTCAAAGTAGTAAGAAGAGCAGCGCTACACACATATATATATATATGTAGCATTGATCGCTCGTCCGATGCAGCAGATACGTTTCGGAATTTTATTCGTTTATTTTTCGACGCTACGTATATGCGATCCCCGATACCGCGCGCTCGGATTACATCGGACACATAGCGCGGCTTATCCGCTGGCGCACTACAGTGCGATAATAAACTTTGTCCCGAAAGTTGCGTACTATACGCGATCGAGCTTTCCTCGACAAAAAAGAAACGGTGAACAAATTAAAAGCTCGCGCGGTATGATTCATTATAACAAACGGTAAAAATCCACTCACCGACGAGACGATGAGTCCCGTGTCGCAGGTGGCCAGGCCGATGAGCAGGTAATTGATGGACGACCTCATCTGCGGCCTCGACAGCACGATGATGGTGATGCAGTTGCCGAGCAGGCCCAGCAGACTGATGCAGTTCATCAGCAGGCCGTAGACGACGAAGTCCGTGAAGGCGTCGCCCTCGCCGCTGATGCAGTGCAGCATCGGGTCCTCCGTCGTGTTGTTGTTGGCCGCCGCCGCCGCCGCGACCAAGACCTCGGTGACGTTGAACAAGGCGTCGTCGCATTGGCTGCTGCTGCTGCTGCTCCCGTTGCCGCATGCCTCCAGCGCCAAGGTGTAGTTATCGATGGCGCTCATCTCCCCTCTCTCTCTCTATCTATCTATCGTCTATGCGATGCTCGAACGGCTGCTCCTTGAGCTCGAGTAAACTGCAAAGGTATATACACGCGTACATGAAAATTTTCAACGCAAGCTCGAGGGTGATTTATTCTCTAGATTATAGAGCGCATGTATGCATATTGTATATAGCAAAGAGCAAAGACAATTATATGTACGAATACGTATTCGGATACAGCGCAAAGTTCGATATTAAATACAGCCTCGAGTTTTTGGGGACGGAGAAATAATCTCGCGGCTTAATAGTTTTCGATATATATTCCGTATATGCACTCGATTCTCCTCTCTCTCTATATATACTTCGATTTACTTCTCTTTCTCTGTGTGTATGTATGTATGTATGTAGCTACCGCGATCTCGAGCCGAGCTTCCTGGCAGCTCTCGAACGGATCGGATTATATTATACGTACCGAACACGGGAAATTGTGATTGCGCCGTCGTTCTTACTACTTTATATATTATATAAACCGAGAGCTTGCAAGCTCGATCTCTCGCGAGCGACGTCGTCGTGTTTCTTTTTTTCTCTCCCTCTCTCTCTTTTCTTTTTGCAGCTTAAAGTTCATCGTGCAAGTTTTTATTCTCTCGCATTTTCTCTTTCATCGAAGAATATTACTAATCCCAATTTTTCATTCTTCTTTGCCGAACTTTCTCTCTCTCTTTTTTCATTTCTCTTCTTCGTTAAGAGGTGCACTACTTCGATATTGAAAATCCTGTGCCCCGATCAGCGCACGTACACGTACGTGTCTCATCGATTTAGCCTTTCGAAAAAGCTCCGATCGCGTACCGCGAAATAATGATGTACGGCCCGCGTGACATAGTACGTATACACGGCAGCGACCGATGCGCCGATCTTTTGTCACGACTCTTTTCCCTCGGCTTCCTATTTTCTTTTCCTTTTATATGGTTCTACTGCGCGCGCGACTGTCCGTATCTATTCAGATATACCCCCGCCTGAGCGCGACATATGTGTGTGGAAGCTTTTTTCCAGACTCTCCGCGTCGTTTTCTTTTTTCCCTCTCGCTCCGGGCTCTCACGTGTCCGCTTGCGTAAACGTGTACATATGAGCGTGGCGCGCGTTTATTCGGGGAAAACTTTATGAGAAACCGTTACGGACAACAACCTGCAGCAGCAGCAGTAGCAGCAGCAGCTTGCAATCTTTATAACTTTTCTTTCGCTCGCTCACTTCCTCTCTCTCGCCGCGCGCGTGTGGAGAAAAGCTCGTACACACGGATACATATAACATTGTATATCTCTCTTCTGCTTTGCGTTTCTTGCGAATTCAAAGATAAAGTCCGATACGCTCGCGCACGTGTGCATATATGGCTCAAGTATAAAGAATAAAAGGAAGCTAGCCCCGAGGCGTATGTGCCACGAGCAGGTAGGTATTACGCCGCAGTAGACGCGGTTTATGATCGCGCGAAAAATAAGACTGTACGACAGCTGAGTAAAATTAACGGCTTAATGCATGTATTTATACTCGCGCATATACTTGTATACGCGGGTATACGGAGCGAAGAAAAAGCTCGTCTCTCCAAATTATCCTCTCTCGAAAAAAAAAAGAAGATATAATCTTTCTTTGCTCGTGCGGCGTATGTGCTGTATGTATAAACGCGCCCCGTATATGGCTGGAGTATATACAAAAGAGCCCGACGGATCAGTGTTATTATTGTTCGTATGTATGTGTACGTTACGTATGTATATAAGAGAGTTCATTGTCTGACTCGGAGTCGTATAGCGAGAGCTTTTTTTCCTTCTCTCTCTCTCTCTCTCTATATATATATATATATATATATCTTTCTACCTTCTTCCGCTCGCTCAGTGTATACGTGTGTATTATTTATACACGTGTCTGTGTGTGTGTGTAATGAGATTGGCCGAGTGAAAATTGAACTCGCCTGGCTAGCCAAGCTCGTGTGCGTCTATACAGCCCGAGACTATTATTTATTTGCTCGAGGAGAGACGTGCCCGGCCCTCGAAAGAGAAGGAAAACGACGGGGAAAAGACAGAGTAAGAGAGAAAAGAAATCAGGGCGGTTATCTCTCGCGCCGTAATAAGCTTCGCGCGTAGAAATTAACCGAGTCATTCTCCGGCTCGAGCTGAACTTTTTAGCTCGACGCGACGTCGGGCGCAGTTGTCGCGCGCTGTCGTCGCTCGCAACCGCAAAAGCTCGGCGCAGCTTTTTTTCCCAGCGCGAGTCCAAATAAATAAAAAAGAAAAAAAAAGAGGAAAATCATTTTATCGCGTTTCCAGCTGCGAGAACCGAGCTTGCGCGCGCGCGAGAACGAAATTTTCAGGTTTATGTGCTACTACGCGACGACGACTCGAGTGTCCGCCGCGCCGCGCTCGTTACACGAAGCGCGTTGTAAGTTATCGCGATGTCATTTTTAGACGTTTATATATCTGTGCAGGGCGCATACGGTGGCCCCGCGAACGTTTTCTGCGCCTATATGCACACGCGACTCGCGTATGTCGTCGTCGTCGTCGTCGTGGCAGTTAGCAAGCTGCTGCTGCCGCCGCTGCTTAAAGGCGGAGTAGCTGCTGCGCTCGCTGAGGTTTCAACCGAGTGTAATACGCGCGCGTATAATAATATAAGCTTGCGCTCAAGTAGGTTAATAAATAGAGACTAGACGAGCTTAGCTGCGGGCTGTGCGTATATTAACGGATGCGGCGTGCAAAAAGTGCCCGCGTGTGTGTGTGTGTGTGAGCGCATGTAGACGCGCGTGACGATAGATACTCGCGCGTGCATATACGTATGTATTTGCGTGTATTATATATATATATGTACCCGCGTCGCGCGTTGGGCGAAAAGACTCGACTCGCGCGCAGCAGCATGTGGACCCACAAAGTCGTCGAAATTATAACGAGCTATCTTTAAAACTGCGCGCCGAGTGTCTCTTACTCGCGTCGCGTGCAGTGTATATATTTACGCGCGTGTAATGCCGACTGCCACTCTCGCTCTCTGTCTCTCTCTCTTTCTCTCCTTCCGTCGCGTCACACGTCGTCGACGACGTTTCGCGTTTACCACACACACACACAGCACAGAGCACTTGCCATGTATAAACTATGAATTATATTTCGGCTACGCGAGCCGCGCGTCTCGCTCCTTCGACTTACTTTCGTGTATATAGTAGGGTACAGAGACATATTTTTCGCTCGATCGGATGCTCGCCGGTGCTTGCGATTCGCAAACTTGTGCCGCTGCTACGGCGTTGCGCGCACGGCGCACGATAAGAAGAATTCCGAGCTTTACATCGAGCTTCGGCCCGCAGTGCGGAGAGAACAGCAGTGGGAGTGTTGTAAGCGGCTCTCCGAGCTGTGCACGACGACGACGACGAAAGTTATAATGGCTTTTTGAGGATGTGCCCTTTGACACTTACGCGCGCATTATATTACATAGCACGTGTGCGCTTCGAGCCCGTGTTTTACAAAGTTAATTATTAATGCTCGCGTCGTAGCTGTCTCGTAGATGCGATTTAAATTGCGCGAAATTGATCGGGGGGAGGGGGCCGGCCCCAGCTGCGCTGCACCTCAATTAATTTTGATAAATATTATATACGCGTGTATTATATATAATAAAATAGCGGTGCGTACGACGCGAGACAGCATCGCTGAAATTTAATAAAGCTAAAGAAGAAAATCGCGTGGCTCCCGCCGTGCGCGGTAGCTGGCATGCAGCGGCACGACGATCGTTACGTTATCATTATTATTGTACGTACATCGGACTCTGCGTGCGCCACGTATTCACAGCGCGGATCGTGTACCGTGTATGGCGCAATGTAAATAATAATAACGCTGGGGTTCGCGCGTGTGATGTTGTTGTGCTCGGTATATATAGGCGACCGGTATTATACACACACGAACACATTGTGGGTGTGGTTGTATGAGAGAGAGAGAGTGCGATTCACGACGCGATCGTGATTGATTTATTAGGCGAACAGAGGCAGCAACAACAACAACGACGACGACGACGACGACGACGACGACGACGACGTACGTACACGCATACGTATATGTGTAGTGCGCACATTGGAGGGTAAGCAGACAATAAATCTGTGTATATGCAACACTTGCCATTTCCGCCTGCGATATATAGGCGCATACGTGCACGCGAGCAATGTATTTACCGATCCACCGCCCCCTCCTACCACCTTGTCTCTCTCTCTCTATCTCACTCTCTCGGGTACTAAATTTTGCACCAAATAAAAGTCTGCCTCTCTCTCTCTCTCTCAACAGCACGCGTGTGTGTAAGATTTCACGGCGTTTAACGAGTTTATTATACATCTATACTCGGCTCGGTAGCCGCAGCAGCAGCAGCAGCAGCAGCAGCAGCAGCACACGAGACGAGCATTTCCGACGAGCTTATTGCGGCTTTCGAGCTGCAGTCGGGCCGAGCCGAGTGGGAGAGAAGAGAAAAAAAAAGTCGGGCGTATGTGTGCGTCGTCTGTCTGTGTATGTAAGTAAGCAGCTTCCAGAAGAGAAAACTCGATTACAAGCGCAACCTGTTACAAGCTTCGACTGCCGTAACTCCTCCACACAGATATAGGATTATATTTTATACGTTACACACGTATGTGTGTGTGTGTGCCACGACGATGACGAGGATCGTCGTCGAATGAAATTGAAACTTTATCGTCGCGACGGCCGCGCGTGCCCCCGGCTGCTACCAGACTGTGTGCACGCAGCAGCTATATATATACGCGCGCCGACGGGCTAAAAGTTTTTCACGTTTCGCCTCTCCGATGTTTTGTTTCGTTTTTTCCTTGTTATTCGTCTGTTTTTTTTTTATTATTTCCGTTTGGCTTTGCGTGCTTTACCTTTTTTTACAATACGTCGAAGACTCGAGCAGAAAGAGAAGGAGAGACAAAAGATGAGCTTCGTGCGCGCGAGAGATACACGCGTGCGCGCGAAAAGCTTCTTATTATTTTTTTCACAAACACGGGCGAATATAATCGAGAGCTCGAACTAGCTGTACATATATTTATACGAAGAGCTCGCGCCTACGCTATCAAAGAGAAATAACCGAGAGAGCCATTATCGAGGCGCAAATATATATCCGCGTTCTTTGCGCACTACATTTTATGCTCGCCGCAAGCTCTGCGGTGGCGTATAAATTTTTCGTCTGCCCCGCGCACACGTGTATTTACTATCCTGTATACGTATAATAGGTACACCAGCTTTATCTCTCTCTCTCTCTCTCTCTCTCTCTCTCTCTCTCTGTGGCCTTTCTTTCCTTATACGCGCGCGAGAGCTCGCAGAGAAGCTATTACTAACACCACGCCTGACAAATTTTCAATGGGGTGGCCAGGAGGTCGGCTTGCCGTGTATCGATGATTTATCTGGCCGCCTGTAAGCCGTGTGTGTTTGTGCATGCGTTTCCAGCAGAAGCTAAACGATCGTCGTGACCCAAATTATGCGCAGTTCTTTTTCCAAGTTAAGCTTCTTTGAGCCCGGTAAAAATTACCGAAATCATTTATCGTTCAAATTCCTACTTTATTGGTTTAAATTGACCCTAGCAATTTTTTACCATGCAATCAATGCTAAGTAGGAGCTTGGATTCAGCGAAAGCATTAAATTTTACTTGGAAAATTTTTCGAAAGCCACATTAAGGAAAAAAAAATGAGTTGAAAAGCGAAAAAAAAATATTCTCATAGCTGCAATAAGCTGAACGATAGAAGAAGTCGTGATTAACTAGTCGTAAATCAAACTAAAGTAGTAAATTTCTGTATTTGCGTCACGTAATTCGTGATCATGCGAGTAGTTACACACGCATGAAAGAGAAAAAGTTTCCTTTAAATTCTTAACTTTTAAAACTTCGTATTTAGTTGAAAAAATAACTTCAATATGAATCTAATATTGATACTATTTTCCTTTTTATTTGTATCCTATTCTGTACGCAATGTAGCAGCGGATGTAACCCCATTAGACTTTGCTGAATTGGGATTTAATGTGTTATCTTCATTCGACAATCCAGCCAAAATATTTCAAGCGTTTTCCAAATTCACGTCATCAATGACTTCGGATGGAGACAAAAATGAAAAGACCTTGAATAAAATTCAGGGTACTCTCACGAGTATGAATAATAAGTTAGATAGCATTACTGAAAATCTCCAGAGTTTCAGGGACGAAATAATCAGTAAACTAAAAGAACTTCGAACGGATGAGGAAATCACTTCAAGACTGGATAGATTTTTCATTCTCGGAGAGACTATAGACAGATATTTCGATACTTTTCGACAAGTGTCAAAGAAGAATCGTTCCAAAGATGATTTGACTCGCTTTATAAACACTGTGAGGTCATTGAATTCCGGTGTCGGAGTCAAAGCAATTTTAATCGAGATGCTTAATGCGCTAACTGGTAATAGGTGGTCATCGAGCGGCCTCAAAGTATTGTCTGACTTCACTATCGTAAGTGCCTGCAGAAACACACAAATTTTTATATTCTATTTTTATGTAAGCGTTAATTATTTAGGTATCTACGCTTGTTTGTTCGAGGGGCCGCTCGCAACAACTTATTATTAATAATTTGTACAAAGCTCTTTGGGTAGCCGAACTCAAAGGACTAGCAATGGATTTGTTCACAATAAAAGAGCTAATGAAAAAGAATCCAGGTTGAAATCAATTTATAAAATATTTTATGTACAATTTGAATTAATATATCATTTTAAAAATAGATATGAAATCAACACTGGATAATACGAAAAATGATTTTGTTGAGAGGTCCAATGAAGCGGTAAAGTATTTGAAAGACGCCATGTCAAAATCATCTCGTGAATTGTGGAGCTGCACATCAAACAATCCCCAACAAGGTAAACAGTCATAAATTTAAAAATAATGATTCAATATTAATATTTTTTATAGGTGTCACCTACGAGAAGTTTCGATCATTTATGTACAAAGTTATCCAACCTGAGTACAATATGATGCAATCATGGGAAAGAGCTACATGGTTTGGTTGCCGAGAAGATTGTACTCGTTTTTCCGAAGATTCATATATCACGTGTAAACCATGGTCAGCATATCATGATTGCATTGATTACAGAAATATGTGCGAGGGTAAGACGTATTATTGCGGTAATTTCGACTCAAACATACATATTTGTCATTCGGTAATTCAACAAGTGTTATTTAATTTTTGACCAAATTTTCATTTGCTATTTTCTTTCGCAGAAAGATAGTACATTCGTAGAAGATGAAAGTCGCCATTATGAATATGTAGAAGGCGATAACGGGCAGATCTACGGTAAAAAGAAACAAGGAGGATGTAATGGAAAATTAACCTATCATTGGGCACGCTCGGAATTTTGGGCCCCATGCGACATTTGCGTTTGTACCTGTGTTCCACCGAATCCGAAGAGTAGTTATATTGACTTGAGAGTAGTTACAGCCGACGTAAAAGAGAATAAGTAAGAATTTTGTGGTTCAGTAGATTTTCTACTGTGATAATGAACAATAAAGTAATAAATTTTTATTTTTTTCTTAGGGTTGTCGTGGGACTTCGCTTGAAAAAAATCGACGATGTTTTTCATCTTGAGATACAGCAAGGTAAACTCTTACCATCAGGCTCAATCGATCCAAAAACAATATCATGGAAAAGTAATCCGAAGACTAACGATACAGGGTATTTATTCTCGATTACCTAATTTGAATTTGATTATACAAATAAATTTTATTGACCATAATGGTAATAAAGGTATAATTATAAGTTTTTGTAATATTTATTGAAAAGTTATAAGAACTTACAATTATGCCCTCATCAATAGCCCCTTCAATAGTCAACAAAATTTCTGTATATAATGAAACGCTCATAGATCATTTGATGCTGAAGACACGTTTTTTACCCACAGCTATTATCATAAATTCAGTTTAAAAGATAGATCTGTTCTTTTGGACGATGTTGAGTTCGACAGCACATTTGTTATAACTGGCGTTAAATTCGCTCACGATGATGGACTTTTAAGATTGGAAGCTCAGGGACATCGATTTGATTATAAACAAGGAAAACTGATTGTCGGTTATTACGATTTGCACTATTTTGAAGGAGGGACCCGCGATCTCAGGTAAATCGAACAATGATGCCTCAAGCACCAATCCAGCTCGTGTTAAATGAAAAATTTTTTTTTTTAGGGAATATGATATTAAGGACTATGATTTGCCGACAAATCATTTAAATAATTGGTTCCATACGGTCCCAAGACAATATGTCAAAATGACAATAAGCAGTATGAAGTCTGATGTGGGACAAAGCATCGTACCATTTGTGGACATAGAGCCGGTAACGTCAAAACAACCAACTCCTTTGTCTGGAGTTGGACTATTTCACAAGAGTCATAAAAATGAAGCAGCTGGTTATTTGGCCCTTAAAATTTTAAGCTATGATTATACGCCTCATGTAAAGTTCAATGCTTAAGGAGCTATTACATGAATATATAAATAAAAAAGAGCTAATTTCGAAATTTTTTCTCGGCCTTTCTATTAAATATTTACATGCAACGTGTTGCTCGATAGCTCGGAACTTTTTTTTAAAATTATGTAATGGGTATTTTAAAGTATGGGTAAAAATCAAAATTTTAACTAAGAAAACAAAGCGAAAAATGACGGAAATTTTGTTTAAACCACCCATTTGCGGTCCTTTCTCATCATATTAAAAAATATGGTGCTCTGACAAATGGTGGTATATTAGCTAGTCTTGTGTGATTTAAAAATTTTGAGTTTAAAATGTCGAAAAATAAAGATTCACGATGAGTATAGAAAAAGGCTGTTTATTTTTGATCGAATTTATGTTACTAAAATTTTACTTTTTTATTTAGATTTCGAATATTTTCTTTTCATTTTTTAAACTTTTGCGAACTCGAACGTGCCCGTTCTTTGACTTTCGACACTCGACGTCGATTCGACAACGACAGCAGAGTGTATAGCAATTCATAAAAGCTCTCATCGAGTTTTTGTGCTTTGGGCTAATCATGGACGACTATGAGAAAAAGTTTCCCGAGCATGATTTGTATATTTAGATCATGAGCTTTTCATGGTAACACTGGGAAAAAATTACCATAGTCCATTAAGTAATCAATTTTACGGATATTTGTATATTTGTAAATTTTTTCGAAATCCTAGAATATGGAACAAAAGTCGTGATTAACTAATCGTAAATCTTACTAAAAAAAAATAAATTGCTACAATTACGTCACGTAATTCGTGATCTTGCGAGTAGTTACACATGTATGAAAGAGAAAAACTTTCCATTAAATTCTTAACTTTCATTACTTCGTATTTCGTTTGAAAAATAACTTCAATATGAATCTAATATTGATAGTATTCGCATTTTCATTTGTTTTTACTTCTGAACGCAATGTATCTGCAGATAAATTAGCATTTGAAATTGCTTTATCTGGACTTGATATTTTGACTTTGTTAAACGATCCAATCGAATTATTCAGTTCTGTTAAGGACTTGGTGTTATTAATATCCGGGGATGGAGATAAAACAGAAGAGAGCTTGGACGCCATCCAGAGTACTCTTACTGATATCAATAATAAATTAGATGATATTTCTGAAACTTTAAAGGGTTTCAGAGATGAAGTCACAACTAAACTAGAAGAAATGCAGATTGATACTAAACTCACTTAAAAACTGGATAAATTTTTCCTGGAAAGACCATAGACGATTATTAGGAACGGTTTGGAGAATTGACTAATGTAGTAGTCGTTCCAAAGTTGAGTTGAATTGATTCATAAATTATGTCAGATCATTGGAAAGCGGTGTTGGAATCAGAAAAATTCTAACCAAGATGCATTTTATGAATGATACCTTGCCTCTCAAAGTATTATCTGATATCTCTATAGCAGTGAAAGCATGAATTTATATGTGTTTTATTACGATGTAAGCAATAATGATTTAGGTTTCTTCGCTTGGTTGTTCGAGAGGCCGCTCTTCACTTATTATTGGGACAGAGTATTGTACCATGTTTGTACATGGAGCTGGTATCATCAAAGCAGCCAACTCCTTTGTCTGGAGTTGGACTATTCCACAAAAGTCATAAAAATGAAGCAGCTGGATATTTCGCACTTGAGATTTTAAACTATAATTATGCCACTCATGTAAAGTTCGATGCTAAGGGTTCAAAAAAAGCTTAAATTGGTTCCTGAAATAATCGCAAAATTTGACTGTATTTAGATAATTTTGATAGTTTCATATAGATCCTTTTAATAACTCTTTAATATCATTCAGTTGGATCATTTATTTAAATCTTTTTGCTATTTGATGCACCTTTTGCATTCAAGTTTAAAATGTGTTTTTTTCTTATATTTTTTTAACTTTTGAGAACTCGAACGCGCCCGTTCTTTGACTTTCGACACTGCATCTGCAGCGCGTACAGCAATTTGTAAAAGCTCTCTTCGAGAGTAGATATTTTTGTGCTTTCTGCTAATCATCGACGACTATGAGAGAGAATTTCCCGAGCACGATTTGTATCGTACGCACAGGTGCAGAGGCGTATTTTTCTGACGCAAAACGAAGACGTCGAGAAAATCGAAAAGCGAAAAGAGAACATAATAGCCAGCACTGCACTACTACGTATATATATGTATATACGTGTATACGTTTGAGAGTAGTAACGCCCAAAAAAAAGTAAGAGAGAGAGAGGGAAAGCCAAATAAAAATCTCTCTAACGAGCGTTGACAGCTGCGCTCGTGCTGGCAAAAAGTTTCGTTTTTGAACGTAAACGTATGCGTGCACACACGCACACATACAGACACCACGCGTTCAACAACGACGAGAAACTCGGTGCACGTTCGATGAGAGTCAGCGTATGTGTATAGACGAATAAAGATTCATCAATGAAATGAAAGTGGAGCAAAAAAAAATGAAGAGAAATAGAGAGAAGCATATCGTGAAAGCGTTTACTTTGCAACGAGGTAATTCGCCCGTACAGCGGGGGCCATGCGTTTTATAGGAGAGACAGAGAGAGAGAGAGAAAAAAAACAACGCATATATGCGTCTAATGTGCGGAGAGTGCACGCGAACTATTTCGATGTACGTACGCCCACGAATATCTCGATAGATTTTTTATCATTCGGTCCTCGGTCGTCCCCTCGCGTGCAGCACGACGCGAGCGGCAAAGTGCAATTTATAGAGAGACGGATAGAGTGAACGAGTATCGTCGTTTTCCGTCCCAAAAAAGGCAATTTTGCATTTTCCTAGCTGTCTATCCGTCGTTTAGGCATACCCACGCGCGTCGCGTTTGATGCCTCGCTCGCTCACGAGCGTGAGGATGAATGATTCAACGTTTATGCTAATACCCAGCACGGCGAGATGAGCTTTTGTAGTGTGCCGCGCGCGTATAGGCTATCGAACATCGCGCGTCGAATACGGCTAATTAAAAAAAAAAAAAAAAAAGACAGAAAAAAAGGACGCGGTCTTTTTCCTCTTCTACGCTTTGCTTCCCTCGTGCGTCGCTCGCGTCTAAATCGGCCCGCGCGCGCGTCGAGATAGATGCACGCCGCCGCCCCGCGCTGTGTGTGCAGCCCGAAAGAGAGCGAAATTTATACGCGCAGTTTTGGACGACATTCAATAATTCGAATATTCTTTGCGAGAAGCTCCAAGGTTTCTCTCTTCCTCGCTTTGCAAGCTCTCGCTCGCTCTTTCTCTCTAATTCTACCGAAACGCTTCTAAGCGCCGAGCCAAAAATCCGAAAAATTCCGCTTCGTTTCGGAGCAGCGGCAGCAGTAGCGAAAAAAATCCCTGGGATTTTTGGGCCAAAGGAATCTAACGGCAGCTGTATGCACGGTGATGCAGGTGAAAAAAAAAACGAAAAGCATACACGAAAATCGGAAAGCGAAAGAAAAAACGAAAGGAATACGAGGAGAGCTTGCAGCAGCTATAGCCGTTAAACGTACTCACTTGTCATTATTACGTGACCATGATCATCGGCGCGCACGCGACGATCGGTCAATTATCAAAATGTAATGCGCAACGCTCTTCTCTCGTTGTTGTTGCTTTTTTTGTTGTTTCCTCGTGCAACGACGACTCGTCGATAGGCATCTTTTTCACCTCGTCTTTGTCCCGAGCACCCACGCGATCGACATTACGATCGTCGTCGTCTTCGTCGTCGTTGGGGCATATTATTACACGTTATGCACCGAAGGCTCGGCTGAGCGCACACGGCGACACTTTAAACGATCACTACTATATGTACAGGCGGATGGGCACTCGCGCACACACAGAGAAATAGATCGGAGCCCCACAGCAGCTCTACACACAGACGCGATCGCTCACTCACTCGAACGCACACTCCACTCCAAAGCACATTAAACGGCCACTCGATCGCTGCGAGAAATAATGCGAATCTTCCGGTGTACTCGAGGAGAGAGAGAGAGATACAATTGGCCCGCTTGCACACACACGCAGCGGTACAGAGACACTATATCTCGTTCGCTCGCTCGAGAGATGCGTCTCGCTTAGCGGTTCGTGTTACTCTGCAGGCACAAGTGAGTCTCTCCGACACAGAGACAGAGAGAGAGAGAGAGAGAGAGAGAGAGAGAGAGAGAGAGAAAGAGCATAAACGGCGGCCGCTGCTCGAACGCGCGCGCGAGTTCGAGTCTCGCGCGCGCCGTCGCTGCTGCTGCTGCCGCCGCCGCCTGCACCGCCGAACCTCTGCTGCTGCTACCACTACTGGCTCTATACGTATATACTGACCCTGGCAGTGAGTGCCGCCTGCGCTCCATACTACGATCTCTCTCTCTCTCTCGCTCTCTACGCAAGCTCATACGTATCAGTACGTGTATATGTACAGCTTGATACACAAAAGCTCCCGCAGTGGGACACTGCGTGTACGTACTGCGTCGCGTACGCGCCCGTCAGACGTCGTATCGCGTTTGTACTTTTTACTCGCGGCTACGCTACTTACCGCTACTCCATATATACCTATATATATCAAAAAGTGTGGCATATGTACGTAATCGTTTGGTTCTTTTGTTGCAGTAGATGTATAAACAGCCTCGACGAGAGATGCGAATGAAATTAAATTATTTTAGCTTTGTGCAACGGTTACGGCCGACGACGACGAGCTTTATTATTGTCTTGCCGTTCTTATTAAAATGACGACGCAGCTATACAACGAATAAAAACTTATATATTTTTCCGAGAGAGAAAAGAGCTTATAATTACTTCGGCGAAATCGTTTTACGCACAAATTATAAATCTTATTCCTCGTCGCCTTCAAGAGGGTGAGAGAACGAGAGAGAGAAAATCGTGGAAACTCGAACTCGAGAGCTTTTTCGCAGGCTATATAGATGTATGTTATGTACGTGTGTTGAGAACAGCACGCGTTGTGTGATCGATGGTACAAAAGACGCGCGCGTCGAGCTCGACGACGTCGCTCCTTTGTTCACGTCGGCTCCTATATAGATATACGCACTCGACTTGCGAAGCTCCAAAGAGAGAGAGAGAGAGAGAGAGAGGACAAAAAGCAAATGCCGAAACTTGGAAACTACTAGAGAGAGAAAGAGACAGCCGATTAACCAAAAATTGATACTCTGGCTGGCTGCACGTCGCTTGCAAGCTCGCGCGCGATCGTCTCGTCGCAAGCATACACACACACTTATTTTAATCCAATTAGGTACGAGCTGGGGGTATGTGTGTGTGTGTACACCAAAGCTATAGATAGATAAACATGCGCGCAAGAAGGTCGAAATGAGCTTTGGGGGCTCGAGGAGCTAGGAACTTTGTCAACGATCCTTTCCCCATCCTCCTCCCTCCTGCATTCCCTGCGTACACCATCTTCCCCCTAGTCGTCGTGTTCGTCTTACGGGCAAATTTCTCTTCACCAAGTAAGAAAGTAGCTGCTGCTGCTGCTGTGGCAGCACTCCGGCAAACTATTATGCGCAGCACACGGGCAACAGCGGCAGCAGCGCTGCTGCACGAGTATATGTCAGTGCGGAGCGCCGCGAGTGCGAGATGAATTTTCTCACTCGAGTAGCGGCAGCAGCAGCAGTATAGCCGCAGCTGTGTGAGAGAGAGAGAGAGAGAGAGAGGGGAAAAAAAAAATTACCATTTTTTTCTTCTCCAGCAGCTCCTCGAGTGGTACTACACCTATATATATATATAGACGATACGTCGCGGATAAAAAGAATCGAGTTGCAAGTTCGCCCCGTAGCCTTTTTATGGTGCGGGCGATGCAGCTCGCGCACGCGCTGTGATCGATTCGTTGACACTTCTGGGGCCGCGCTGCGCGCGAGAACGCGTCGTTCGGAGAAAAAAGAACGAGCGAGAAAGCAAAAAAAGAAAAAAAAAGAGAGAAAAGAAAGAGAGAAAAGAGGAAAACGAAACCGGTATCGAATAACTTTCGTATATATGACAAATGTATGAATATAAATATAGATACGGATGCGTCGAGTAATTTGTTTTGTCGCGCGCAAAAGAGAAGAGAAGAAAACAAGAAGAAAGGAATAAATCAATGAAATGCATTTCCCGGTATCAATTATTGGCCGTGTATACACGGGGGGCGAGCATTCGTAATGTATATAATTATCGTTTCTCTTTACTACCAAGCCACGAGTAATAACAAGTATCGCACACATTGTTATGCCCGGGGACCGAAAGCAAATAGCAATGGGGGGATGGATTATTATACGTGTATAAATACAACGAGTGTCGGCTTCGTCATACACTTACTCACACACACTCAGAAGCGGCCGAGCTTTTTAACCTACTTTCGCAGAGATACGTATCTTTTCGCACTTTCGCACCCACTTGGCTAGAGAGAAAGAGAGAGAGAGATGGATATCGAGGAGATTTTTCTCACTTTCGCACTCTCGGCTGCATGTATATGGTTAATCGAAGCGCCCGAGTGGCCCCGTCAACCAGTGCCCCGGGATCGAACGAAAATTGCCTCGTACGTGCGTACTGTGCTGCTCGAGCTTCCGCTATATCGCGAGACCAGTCGAATAATTGCCAAAGCGGCAGAAAAATAGAGAGAGAGAGAGAGGAAGAGAGAGAGAGAGAGAAAAGACATTTTTCGCTTTTACGTGGATGTTATTATTCATGAGAAAGAGGGTATATATAGCTACGCACTGACTGTGCTGCACTGCCACGGATATATATACGCCAAAGTGGCTTTTTATCTTTTCGTATTATCGTAACACCCTCGCACTCGACCCCGAGAGCTTTATATATGTATATAAAAAGTATATATAGCGCGCGCGAGCGTCCGCGTGGATATATCTCGACGGTTAATTAAGATTTTCCCCGTGCTCGCAAGCTCTATCTCTCTCCCTCACCCTCTCGCGGCGGCCCAAAAGCAGTGAAAAAAAAAAGGTGAAATGTAACAACGTGCAGTAACGAGAGAGGAAAAAAAGAGGAGGGAAAATTGCGTGCGTGTACACGCTTATTAGCGCTGCGTACGCGCAAAAATGATTTTCAACTCGGATACGCATTATTCTAATGAAAAAAGCCTCTCTATCTCGCGCGCGCGCGCGCGCAAAGTTTCGTTGTATAATCCCGGGGCACGAATATTTAGACACATACACCGCACGCTTACACGCATTCGCGTGGAAGTACTCGTGCATATGGATGAATGAGCTGGCCGAGAGAGAGAGAGGCAGAGAGGCAGAGATAAAGGAAAAAAAGAACGAAACGAAATGGATTTAAAAAGCTATTATCTCTGGCGTGAAATTTATGTAAAATAAGCGCCGCAACACAACGCGGCGTCCAGAGCTATAAAATTGCCGCGCTCCGAGAGAGAGAGAGAGAGAAAAATAACGAAAACGACCGAAAGAGACAAAAGCGAGCGAGCGAGCGAGCTTGCGGGTCGCTGGTACTAATTGAAATCAACAGCAAATAATCGCGCGCTTCTGCATAGGTGTTCCTTTATCTCTCTTACACTGCACACACGCACACGTAGAGTAATAGTAGCAGCAGCAGCTCGGCAGCCACAACCGACGAGGGCAATTAATCAGTCTCCTCTCTCTCTCTGCCTTGAGGTATGTATATATCGTACGCGTGTTTTTTATCCCCCTTTTGCTCTCTTCATTTTAACCAGCGAAAAACTTTTTCGCTCTCTGCACTTCGCCACGGCGCTCCATAAGATTTATCGCTCGTGTCATACGCTCCCGCCACCGACTCATGGGCGCTCGTATATATACACGCACAGACACAGACACGAGTGCAGCGGAGCAGTCGAAAAGTAGCTTTTGCACACACACACACACGCAAATAAAAAAAATTATATATATTCTCGCGAGCTTTATGCTGATTCAATTTTTTTCGACTCTCTGTTTCTCCCGCTCGTGTAGCGAGGCGTGTCGCGCGCAAGCTCTTTTGTGTTTATACTATATGCGCGCCCATTGACCCAAAGAAAGTGGATTTCTTGTGTAAGTAAGATAAGGAAATCGTTTCGCCTCTCTCTCTTTTTTTTCTTCTACTCCTCCCATTTCTCTCTCTCTCTTTTATTTCGTCTGCGGATGAAGCTTTTGCTCTACGGTCTCGCGCGCGCGCGTGCGGCGTGCCGCCGCCGCTGCAAGCTCTCTAGTCAGAGCTTTATGCCGTATAACAGCGAGCGAGTCTAGGAAATGCTTTGCCTAATGGGCTGGCGTGCCTGTGCAGTCGGTGCAGCCATGAGCTCTCTCTCTCTCTCTGTGCTTTTCGCTGTGCTCGAGCTCGAGTTACGCGTGCGTGTGCACTGTGTGTGTGTGTAGGTGTGTAACCTCCGCTGCCGCCGCCGAGACGTTGTAATACACGTACAGAGAGAGAGAGAGAGAGAGACTCGCGCGCACAAACGCGTTTGCAGCCATTATAATGGGGCTAGGGAGTGAGGGAAAGGCTTGCAAGTTTAATTATACACGCTCGAGAGAAGGCGTTGAAGTTGGCTTCCGTATACCTGCTCTCTCTCTCTCTCTCGCTCTCTTGCTCAGATTTGACTCTTAAATATACATGTATATATAGAGAGGTGCATTCTCCAAGTCATCAGCTGCTCGACACGACTCTGTATAGCGGTACGCTGCGTGCACGCGCGTTATTATTTTGCAAGATTAATTATGATGACGTTGTTAGAGCGAGAGCTCGGCTAAGGTCTGATCGAGAGGCCGCCGCCGCCGACGTCTTGGGAGCAGCAGCAGCTGCAGCCTAGTTTAGCGCGAGATTATAAGGTATACCGAAGCTCGAGGCGTGCGGCGGCAGCAGCCTCCATTATGTATCAACGTGCATTGTGCGCGATCCTTGTGTATATGTATATAACGATTGAGGTAGGCGCCGCCAAGCGCCCGTGACGTCGTCGACCGCATCGAGCACGCACGTATTAAGTACACCTGTAAACGTACACTCGAGCTCGAGGCGTATTTCTAAACGTTTCTCGTTTTTGAGATCGAGTAAAAAATAACCCACATAGCATGAACGCTTTCCAGAATCTTACAGAAAGCTTTCAGAAAAGTTTAGAGAGCTTCCAAAATACTTTCTTGAAAGCTTTCTGTAAGTACGAAATGTCTTCGACAA